TAATATATATATATATATATATAATCTATCTATATCTATATCTATCTATCTATCTGTATTCGATGACCCTCAGTAATTGTCATATTATTCTATGGTGATTTCCCGCTTTATACCATACTCGTTGAATTTGCTTTCATATTCTTCAAGTCTGTGTCATGCTTGGGTTTAACGGCACTTGCAACACAAATAGGTCATATAAGCCCCGAAGATTAGAGGTGTTACAAGAGAGTAACATACACAGAAAAGAACGAGGAGAGATAATGACGGTTGTTTGTTAATGGGTAAAAAAGGAACAAAACCACACCCCAGAGCACCCGCCAACCTCCTGCTTGAGTTATGCATTTAAGATTGAAACTGCTTTCAATTTTAATCATTTTCCCCCTTATAGCAAGTAACAGAACTCTTTAAAACAAAATTAGTGATGTTTTTCTTTTGAAAATCGGACCTTTATTATGGAAAGTGTGCCCGTTTCTTTTTAGGGATAATAGACATTGGACTCCCGACGTCACGATTATGACGTATTTAAACGGTAAACAGAATTTTACTCTTAATGTACTTGAATTTTATTTTTATATATTGATTCTACATAAAACAGCAAACAAAATGATACCTCAATGGTCACGATACAACTATTATTAAGGATTTTATGACGCTGTGAAGCAAAATTTCGAGTTTTAGTGGCACAAAATGCAGTGCAAAAATTTGGCCAAATCAGGGCGAAAATTGATTCACAAAAGCGGTCGCTGCTTCTAAACTAACAAAGACAGCACAAAAATTTTAAAAGCTCTGAAAACAGAAAGCCAAGCTCTTTTCAATAATCTAAATTTCAGTGCCCCTGGAGAAGTTTGAAAATTTCACTGAAGTGCCTAGTTTATTGATCTGACAAATAAACAGCAATTAATCTCTTTTTTAGTTTACTAATAGTTTTTATTTATAAATTCTCTGATCAGGCCAAGGACTTTAAACTTAAACAACTAAGGGGGCTCTCGTGGTCAAGAGGTTACGATGTTCGCCTCCAATTGGAATTCAATAGGTCCCGGGCAGTCCCGGGTTCGAAACCTAACAGCGACGGATTTTTTTTTCTCTAAAAAATGTCCCCCTTTCACCTGATCCTTTCCTGCTCTCTAACAATGCTTTGCCGTCTGCTTTCTTCCCCACTTTCTGTCGCCACCCCGTCACATCCTTTGCCCCTTCCTCTGGGCTCCTGACAGCGACGCAATATTTTCTTTTCTATAATGCTCTCCTTTCACCTCCTCTCCTGCTCTCTAACAATGTTCTGTCGTCTGCTTTAGTCTCCACTTTCTGCCCCCACCCTCTCACCTCCTTTTCCCCCTCCTCGCTGGGCTCCTGACTCTTTCTGCAGCCTTTCTATTGCTACCCCTTGGCTCCTTTTAACAAGTTGCGCACGTTAAAGATCCCTTGGTGGTCCAAAATCGATTAAAAGTAGGCTTCGGTCGCCACCCGGGCAAAATTCAAAATTTCTTACCAACTGAAAATGTTTAATGTGTCCCACACGCTCATATGATCTTAGGTCTATATGCAGTTTTCGAGTGCCATAAAAACACTTACCACCACCACCAACAACAACAACAATAGCAGCAACAGCAACAACAACACCACCACCACCACCAACAAAAAACAAAACAACTTACTATAGATTGTTATAACCTCCTTGGATCAGCTAAGAGGCCGAGGCTGGGCGCCTCAGACCACGCACGTTTTGCGCTGGAAAAATTGTGTCATTATCTGTAACTTTCTGTCTGCCCATACGCAACGCACATTTAACGTTGGAAAAAGTTTTGTACACAAACAGCACGTACAGTTTGCGTCCTTACGTTGAATCTGAGAGTCTGTTTTTTCCCCCTGTGATTGTCTATTTACAGTTGCCAAGGACTTTAAAAGTCAGAGAGCGCGCACACGCACGAACACACACACACACACACACACACACACACACACACACACACACACACACACACACACACACACACACACACACACACACACACACACACACACACACACACACACACACACACACACAGGCTTGTGACGAAAAATGACCTCCTTTTTTGACAGACCAAGACCAAGACCATCAATGATTTATTTATAGAGGCACCATGTCCAGGTGCTGTTTTAGCCTCTTTTTCCTGTATTCGGAAATACAGAGCACGGAAACCCCCCCACTGTTTTTGACAGACCACGGAAAAAGTAGCGCATGCGTCCCCACACTGCTCTTGAGCAAAACAAAGAACGTTCCCTTTTAAGGAAATTTAGAAGTTTTCAAGTAGATAGATCTACTAAGATCCCCCCCCCCCTTTTTTTTTAAAATTACCATCCTATGATCGAAAGCGTCTTCGTGTTCCTATTTCGTATTTTCTGCTGCCGGAGTGGGAACTGTGGGTGAACGACAAAGAACAAATTGACAGAACCATTAAAAAGCCAGTGAGATCTTTGGATATGATTTTACTAGAATATATGAAATGTATAAGATAACAATATAAAAAAAAGATAAACAATATTATAAACGATCCCCCCCCTTTCCACCCAAAGTAAGATCTCGCAGCGGCAGACGTAGCCTACTACTAAAAGCTAAGAAAGAAAGATACAAAATAAGTTGGGTTTTTTTGGTAACCATCTAGATCTAGATCTAGTATAAGGCTAGATCACGGAATTCTATTAAGTGTTGAATTAATCTGCTGTCAGAATAAACCTCAAATATTTCTTGCTGTTTTTAATACATGTAGGGTATCTATATAACTGCATGCATGCCTAGATGTAATAATTAGCCTAATGTCTATCATACTGATAGATTTCTGCGTAGCCGAATGATGCATCTAATGTGATCTGAAGAACATACTTGGGACAGGCAGGCCAGATATGGCAGACAGATCTGTCAACTTCACTTTTCTTTTCATACTGCATTTTAATGAGAGTAATAGATCTATGTAATTTAATTTCTGCCTATTCCTGCATGTGTTTTTACGGTCCTGTATAGCCAAGGAAAAGTTCCCTCTGGGACAATAAAGTATTACATGTATAATTAGGCCCTATCTTATTTTATCTGATCTACATAATTTGTTGCGTCAGTTTATGTGGAAATCCGGTGTAACCCACACAAACCGACGGAAATGCAAACTTATCAAATGGAACGCTCTGTGGGTGCGTACCCTAACGCAAAGCTCGTTAACCCTAACCCTAGGAAGCCAAGCCCTAACCACAGAATTCTACACATAAGTGTAGAATTCTGTGGCCCTAACCCAAGACAGGGGCCTACTCTTTTGTGTTTCTATAGAAACGGAAATTTACCATGAAATCAAACAAGCACATAATATGTCAACCGACATGATGATAACAACACAATTTTCCCTTGAAATCAAATGAGCACACAAAAGGTCAGCCGATATGATGTTTTGCTTTACGACTTCCGCATAGCCCTCGATAGGAAAAAGTGGGCCGTGTTATGAGCACAGAGATTTGTCTGCCATAAATATCTGGCCTGCCTGTCTCAAGTATGTTCTTCAGATCAGACCATATCGAATTTTGACAACATGTCAGGGAAGAAAAAAGCGTAAGTTATGGTATTTCATAACGCTGTTATTTCTGTTAGAAGTAGAATCTATAGACTTTTCAAAAAATCAATTTACAAAGTCGAAATCCATATAAATCCAGTCACATCGAGAGAAGTCAGCTGAGACTCCCAATACTCCCATGGGCCATGCTATCATGAAAGCCTGGTCTTCGCTTTGTTCGATTTTCACTGTAGAGTGGTGAAATTGGGCTATAATAGTGCTGTAGCATAGTGTTCTACTACAAATGTTTTGTATGTAGGTTAGTGGGCGGCATTACCATTATTTCAACCCATGCGTGATCTTGACTTGGTTAGTCTGATTTGTAAGTCTGATTCTATTTTTGGCCTTTGAGTCAGAAAGTTGTGACTTATCAGCTGGATTTGAGAAGGCTACATGAGTTAATTAGTAAAATTTTACATACATGTGGTAGTTCTTTACTCACCGGAGTTTTCTACTCGACTGCCGTGTAGGACAGTTGTGTCAGGTGGTGTTTTTCGTGTGAGCACTTCGCAAGTCCATGCGAAGTCATGATCATGTCAGCTGCTGTGAACTGAGTGTTCAGAGAGTCACTACATGGCCCCCCACCAGCGCTGACATGACAGGAGGTTCTAGAACTGGAGAGGTGGTCTCACGATACGTCCTGAACGTGAGACCTTCCAGCCTGCTTGTTGTGGTTCCTGTAGAGTAACAGGAGTGGATTGTACAGCTTGGGTAGACTGGGTTGAATTGTTAGTATTTGCGCTTGGATTCACAAGCGATGAAGACGGAGGTCGCCCACGTCTTGGAGCCTGAGCAACACGTACTGGTTGCGACAGATCCACAAAAGCTGGTTTAAGTCGGTCGACAGAGATGTGTTCCGCGTGACCACCTAGATCGACAAGAAAGGTTTTGTCCAGCCTTTCTAAAACCTTGTACGGACCAGTATACGGGCGCTGTAGGCGTTTTTGGTGAGCGTCGCAGCGGATGAACACGAACTTGGCTGTGTCTAGTGACGAGTGGGTGTTGGAGGTAGGTGCACAGTGCAGTGATGTCGCCTTGGCTAGTTGTGACTGCATTTGGGATCGTAAGTTGGCGAGGCTCCGTGACTGGTCGAATGGTGAAGTGTCACTGGTAAAAAATTCGCCCGGTACTCTGAGTGGTTCTCCATAAACTAGCTCAGCGACAGAAGTTCCTAGGTCCTCTTTTGGGGCAGTCCTCAAACCGAGCAGTACCCATCCCAGTTCATCGAGCCAGTTCGGGCCTTGGAGTCTTGCTTTGAGAGCACTCTTAAGGGACCGGTGGAATCGCTCAATCAATCCATTGGATTGAGGGTGATAGGCTGTTGTATGATGAAGATTGGTACCAAGGCGCTCGGCCATCTCTCTCCACAAGGCAGAAGTAAACTGAGGGCCTCTGTCGGATGTGATGTCGACAGGGATGCCAAAACGGGCGATCCAGTGATTGATCAGCGCACGGCCACATTCTGTTGTTGAGGTGTCCTTGAGTGGGATAGCCTCTGGCCATCGTGACGTTCTGTCGATGATTGTGAAGAGGTGAGTGAAGCCCTGAGATGGGGGTAAAGGACCTACAAGATCGACATGAACGTGACTGAACCTCTTTTCAGGCACGGAAATCTTCTCGATGGGTGCCTTAGTATGCTTTTGCACTTTGGACGCTTGGCAGTCCGTACATTCCTTGGCCCACTTGCTGACTTCTTTTCTCCCTTCAGAGGTTCGTAGAGAGGGCGTAGTACTGAAGCAGCTCGAGGCAGAAAGCGATGGTAGAAGTTTAGCATTCCCAGAAATTCTTGGAGTGCTTTGTGGGTGGTTGGCAGCGGGAATTCTTCTATAGCTTTGACTTTAGAAGGGAGTGGGGTAGATCCATCTCGTGTGACTCGATGGCCTAGAAATTCGATTTTGGTCACTCCAAACACGCATTTTTCTAACCTAACAACTAGGCCCGCTTCTTCGAGTCTTTTGCAAACTTGCCGTAGATCTTTAATATGTTGAGCTGCTGATGAGCTGGCAATGAGTATATCATCCAGATAGATGAATGCGCACGAGATGTCCTGCAGGACGGAGTCCATAAGACGCTGGAATGCCTGGGCGGCGTTTCTAAGGCCGAATGGCATCCGTAGAAATTCGTATAGGCCGAATGGTGTGATGACGGCAGTTTTCGGAATGTCCTCCTGCGCAACTGGGATTTGGTGGTAACCTCGAACGAGGTCGATTTTGGAGAAAATACTTTTGCCAGCGAGTCGTGCTGAGAAGTCTTGAATGTGGGGAATCGGATAACGATCTGGGGTAGTTCTATTGTTGAGTCCACAGTAGTCGCCACAAGGTCGCTAGTCTCCATTACCTTTCGAAACCATGTGAAGAGGTGAAGACCAGGGACTGCTAGATCGTCTAATAATTCCCATTTCCTCCATTTTCAGAAATTCAGCTTTGGCGATGGCTAGTTTGTCGGGGGGTAGTCGACGTGCTTTGGCATGTACGGGTGGACCAGTGGTGGGGATGAAATGGGAAACACCGTGCTTCACTTCGGATGCCGAAAAGGTTGGCTCGAGGATTTCGGGAAACTCTGTTAATATCTTCCTAAATTTGTTGCTTTCTGGGTCCACTATGGCTAGCTGAGAATCTGAAATCTGACCGATAGTACATGGGTATGCTTTGAAAGATTGAGCCTCTATCAGTTTCTGACCACGAATGTCTACCAGTAGGTTGTGGCGGCGAAGAAAGTCAGCACCAAGTAGGGCCCGCTTTACATCGGCGATGACAAGCCTGGCGTCGAAAGCATTGTTTTGGAAATGAATGGTGGTGTTGAGCGCTCCATATGTATTGATTTTGCTACCATTTGCGGCTAAAAGTGGAGAGCCTGAAGTGTTCGCCTGTTTGTCCCGCCATGTTGCAGGAAGAACCGAAACTTGGGCTCCCGTATCGATTACGTAACGGCGGCCAGAGACAGAGTCCATGATAATCAATTGAGCTTTTTGTGGGCCAACAGAAGGTTCTGAAGCAAGACTGAATTCTGCTGGCCCACCTACTCGTTTCCCTGAACCGCAGATGCTTTTTTGGGGGCTTTGTAACTGCATGGCGGAACGCATTTTTTGGCGTTTGGTCCGAATCTGTGGTGGTAAAAGCATAGACCTGTCGAGTGGCAAGGTCTGGGCTTGCTAGCTGCCGTTGTGCGATCTACTGCCAGTAGTGTCGCGGGTGGAGCAACGGCAAGGAATAATTTGTCGGCATCTTGTGCTAACGTGCGGCAGTCGAGATGGTCGAATGTTGCCAGGGGGGCTCTCACGTATTCAGGCAACTGTTGAAGGAATAAGTGTCTGAAAAGGAAGCACGGTTCGTGGGCTCCCAGTAGGGCTAACATGGAGTCCATTAATTCTGATGGCTTACGGTCTCCTAACCCCTGTAGTTTAAAGAGCGCTGATGCTCTTTCCGTATCTGACAAACTATATGCCGACAACAAAAATATTTTCAACGTGCTGTATTTGTTGTCTTCTGGTGGGTTGGTTAATATTGAAAGTGCCCGAGTTGCTGTGCTGTTGTTGAGGGCGGCGACAACATGATAGTACTTAGTTTCGTCTTGAGTAATATTTCGCAAAGCGACTTGCGCTTCAGTTTGGGCAAACCAAGCTTCCGGCCCGGCTGTCCAAAATGTTGGTAGTTTAATAGAAACTGCACTTACTTGACAATCCTGTTCACACATTTTGAAGGGATGGTAAGGGTTGTGACGAAAACGCAAGTCCGCTCAAATATGATTCAAAATATAATCCAAAACAGAACACACAAAGTTGAAATTGCGTTTCAACTTGTTGGGGTCACCAATGTGGTAGTTCTTTACTCACCGGAGTTTTCTACTCGACTGCCGTGTAGGACAGTCGTGTCAGGTGGTGTTTTTCATGTGAGCACTTCGCAAGTCCGTGCGAAGTCATGATCATGTCAGCTGCTGTGTTGTGAGTTAACTGAGTGTTCGGAGAGTCACTACACCGGGTATTTTTATTGGCCACCTCTTTTCTCACCCGGAGTGAGAATAGTGCAGGCGAGTCTTGTGGCTATTCTCACCCGGTGCGCGTTCACCAAATTTTGCGTTCACCCTAAACCACAGAATTCTACACTGTGATAACAGAAAAATTGTAGAATTCTGTGCCGTGAACAAACGTTCCATTACAACTGTAGCCTACTAAAAGCGTACAATTTTGTCTGTGGGCAGTGGAGAGAGAGAGAGAAAGAGAGAGAGGAGTAGCGCGAGAATTTCCGGGCAAAACAAAATGGCGACCCGCGTAGTTCGGCTCGATTCGAAAAGTTAAATAGCTGTAGCATCTTTGTAGACAACCAAATTAATTTACTTTTGTGTTTTAACATCATTTTTAAACTTTGTTTTGGTCAAATTGATCGTCCACACCGATAGACAGTATTCAGAATGAGACAGAGAGAGAGAGAAGAGGGGAGGAGTTGATCTTGCGAGAACTTCCGGGCGGGTGAGAATAGCCACTTTCATTTTTATTTTATGAGGAGAGCAAAGAAAAAACAGGAAGCCTAATGGAAGAAAACCTCTTTGGTACTTGGTGGACTCATTCGTGACATCTATTCATCTATTCTATTAGATGCTATCTGTCTCAGAAAGTTCAGCTGTTTTTTTTTCTTTTTTCTTAGTATCCTAGATCTAGATCTCCGTATTCGTAGAGCAAATTAATCAGATTTGCTGCAAGACTTGTGACTCTACCATCTGTCTGAGCTGTGTCAAGTCTTCATCACTGAAGGGATAGAGGAACAGGCTTGTCATTCATGTGTTCCCTGTGTTGTGTGTAACACTAGTTAGATGTGTGCTTTGAGAAAGGTCCAAGGTGTCTGAAATTTTAGATATTAAAATAAAAGGAGGGCATATTCTTATTTTGTTCTCATTGTAAATTCAATGCTGAACTCGCAGACTTTAATTTTTTCAAAAATGCCTTGAGGAGTTTTAAAGATAGAATCTATGCCTCATTTTGTAACACAGGGTATGAAAACCAAATTTAATACCCCCGCCCCAAAATTTCTGGCAAATTTTTTTTACCTTTGGTACAACATGTTGAAAAAATAACTTATAAAAATATTTAGACTTAAATTATAATAATATTCTTTCTGTATGTTATATTTTATAAGTTTTATCAGTAGTGGCTCGTGGTTTATAGAACTGACCGGCCGTCATTCACGTCGACTATTCCTTTCCTTCACAACACACACACACACACACACACACACACACACACTTACACACACACACACACACACACACACACACACACATTTTCTCTCTCTCTCTCTCTCTCTCTCTCTCTCTCTCTCTCTATTTATTTTATACCCATACTTTCGCTATCCCCACCCCCTCCCCCACTCACACACACACACACACACACCACTGTAAACATTGTAATATACTGTGAAAGAGCTAAAATATGCGTTAGTTTTCAAGAAACAATATTATGAATAACGTATGATAGAAGTTACTGAGATTAATAGACACTGACTTGATCGGCAGAGAAAAAAAACACTACTAGGCCAGAAAACAAACTGAAAGTGAGAGGCAATAAACTGCTGGTCCTGGCCTTCAGTACTGTACTCGTACTTTCTACACCCCCACACTAAATATCGACGAGCACTGGACCCGTTAAATTAAATATATGTAATAAGAATTGTCCTGTATGATGACAAAAAGTTAATTGATACTGTACCAGTGACGCTGTCCCAAGCAGATCAAGTCTACAATCAGATAGTATACAAAGCTGGACAAAGTTAGCACACAACAGTTTCTGATCATTATATCATCAAATTTTTTTTCTTCAACGCACTTCTCACTTCTCAGAACAGAACACTGTGTTGTAACAAAGTGGGGAAGTGTGTCAAATGCTAATTATAGAACTTGGTGTCTAGCTGGGGTGACGGTGGAAAAGGGGAGGGAAGGGAGGGGGTAGGCCTGGCCCAGACTCTGACAGCCGAGTGCCTATCGCTCCTTGTTAAAATTCTCCTTATATATCTTCACTAGACAATTCCTCCTTCCGCCGGCCAGACTCCTAGGGGCCAGGCCAGATAAGTTATTAGAGGGGAGAAAACGATGAGTAAATGTCAAACAGGAACTATAGGTGGTTAGAAAGTCAATAAACAAAAAAAATTAGTGCCATGCTAACAATAAATGTTCTGATAGTAATTAGAGAAAGGCTGAATGATAAATACATGTTTTGCTGATAAAATAATACATGTGTCTGTGCTGCTCAAGACAGTCTCAATCTTAATTTTGTAAGCTACAAAGAGGCCAATTTGGCAATTTAAGGGATGCCCTCTATTCCTTCTCAGGGCTGTCGATGGATTTGTCCATGGGACTGACGTCATCGTTAGGCCAAAGCCCGCCGTGTGTTTGGCCTGGTACGTAGTAGCCTACAAAGTTCCGGGAAGTGACAGCTTGATGGGAGGGGAGACGATTTAAAGTTACGAGCCGGCGCTATAACAAACGTGAAGGAATGAGGCTCTGTCGTGACAAATAAACAGCAGTGAATCCCACTTCTCTATTTGAGCGCCTTCAAATCGGCTAGGTGCTTTTTGAATGTTGATACATGTTTGTTTGGATTTACTTAAAACTGAATGAAAATCATCATCAACAATAAATCTCCTGTCAACAGTCCAGCTGTAAAAAATCTGACCGGCACCGCCGGTCTTGTCCAGTTAACAAACCGCCCCTGAGTTTTATACTGTTAAACGTGTGTTTTCTGATGGAACTATACATTTTTTACCAGGTACAACTTTTTTTGCCATTTCACCCCTTTGCTCAAAAATAGCTTTGCCGACAACTGGGACCTTTCTCCAGGCAAACACACATGGTGCAATGTCATGGTTGCTGTCATCTTTGTTATTAAACCCTCGTAGCGCTCCAGGCGACAAAACTCACCTCCCCCTCTCTCACTCCGCTGAGCGCGCGAGGCAACTATAATTACCAACGGCTCTAGAATGGTTCAACCAATCAAATTCAAGGAAAAAATAACCCAGGGGTCAAGGCACTGCGTGCCTTTGTGGGTTCTGTTAGGGATAGACTCCATAATGTTTATTTAGGTCAATTACCCAGTAGCACTTAACAGTGAATGAATGATTGGTTTCATTTAAACAGCTTTCAGTTTATTATTTTGAAAACCATACTTCTGGAAAGGGAAGTCCTTTCTGAATTTAGAAATGTATACTTGTCTAGGGTTTTGGTGAATGTCAAGATACAAAATGAAACAATTTCCCTGCATGGGCCTCAAACGACCCGGCCAGCGCTTCGGGGCAGGTCATGATCGGTCAAGGCTAAGCGAGTCCGGCATGGAGCACGCTCAGCGCTTCCGGTAAGCGCTACGAGGATTAATATTTAATATGTTATTTTTTCTTCAAGTGGCAGTATGAGAAAGTAATTTTTGATGTGTGGATTAAATCTTCAGCTGGTCTAAGACTGGTGGCATTTATATATTTTTGTGTAAGGACTGATTTGTGTTACGAATCCAGTGTTGGTCCCACAAAGCTATTTTATAATCTGTCAGCGTGAAGTGCAAACTCAAAACATCACCAAAGACTTACTGTACTAAAGATCTGTCAATCATCAATAATGTGCAAGTTAAATATTCTGTCAGTGTGAAGTGGAAACTCAAAACATCATCAAAGACTTAGTACTAAAGGTCTGTCTATCGTCAAGAATGTGCAACTTTAATATTCTGTCAGGGTGAAGGGGAAACTCAAAACATCATCAAAGACTTAAAGTACTAAAGATCTGTCAATCGTCAATAATGTGCAACTTTAATATTCTGTCAGGGTGAAGGGGAAACTCAAAACATCACCAAAGACCAAAGATCTGTCAATCATCAATAATGTGCAACTTTATTCAACAGAGACCTCAAAGTAATCATTCTAGGTGATTACGCTGTGGGAAAGACATCTTTGATTTGCCGCTACATTGATGGCAAGTTTCAGACTCAGGAGCCTGTAAGTGTGCAATAAGTTACATTCTTAATGCTGGATAGGTCAGTAGGCTTTTGTGTTAAATTTACAGCTTTACACTTTAAAACAGAAAGAGCTGGAAATGTCTATCTTTGTCATTTTTAAAAAGTATAATCTGAAGTATAAGAAAGTGGTTGCAGTATCCACAGTGATGCCCCGATGGTCACCCTTTCAGTGGGGAGGTGAAGGCAGCACAGACGGTGCGCCATTGTCTGTGGTGTTGTAGTTTGTATTAATAATAATTGCATTAGTGTAACACATACCACGCTCTACAGCATGCTCTATGAGCTTTACAACCTTTATTGCCCTAGCAAAATTCGAGAACAATCAGAGACATTCTCGGTTTCCCGAGAAGCGTACTATGCAGACTGCGGATTTTTTGTGTTCAAACACTACCGCAAATTGTCAAGATCTTTCACTGTCTATAGCCGGGTACCTGTTTTCAACTTAGTGAAGTAAGGAAAATTCGTATTAAGTGCCTTTTCCAAGGACACTACGTCAGGCCCCTGATGGGATTCGAACCCATGACCTAACGGTTGCGAGTATTTCATTTCTTCATGCAGAAGATGATTTCACTAAATGGGGAAGTATTTTACAGAGCTTCCCCATCTGCGAGCACTATTCTGTATCCCACCCAGCGAGGGTTGGCCTTCTCATTAGTGACAAGCAGGGGGAAGCAATCCACTCTTTACTGATCAGAATTTTATAAATAAGTAAGTGCATAGAGCAGAAAGTTAGTACCATTACAATCACATGAAACTACAGAATTTTGTTAGTGGTCGTCTGCTGTCACCTTGTTGAAAGAAATCAGAATACCACTAGGTTACAATCAGAATATTGATTACGTGTCTAGCTTAACACTATTGAATGTTAACAATTATTGTTCGTTTATATTATACATGATGTGACTGTGAGCCTGTTAATGAGTGCCTGCATACTGTTGTATTTTTATGGATATGTGCACAGATGTTGTGTGGAGGAGAGGATGTGTGAGAGATTGTGCGTGTATGGGTGTGCGCAGGTGCACGCGTATACATGTGTGTGCTTGTGTGTGTGCATGTGTTTGTTTTGTGCATGTGTGAATGTGTATGTGTGTGTGTGTGTGTATTTGTGTGTGTGTTTAGTCAAAGAACATTTCAAGATTACTTTTTAAAAAGTGTTTTTATTGAATGAGTGTGAATGCAGAAACTATTTGTTTTTATATGCTTTGTGTCAAGGGTTTCACTCCATTGCGATGAGTACCCCCCGGGGAGGTGCTACTGACCGAAGTGTTTTTAGGTCATTCCCAAAGAAGGGATATTAACCTGTTCTTATGCGCAGTAGATTTGTAAATGGTCTGATTCATCGATGTCATGCTCATAACTATTCCTGGACAGCAACAGGGAACTGCTCCTTTTTCTTTCCTAATCCTTACTATCGTCATTTTGCCTCTACTTCTTTTGTATGTTTTTCATACTCTTGTGACCCGCTATTTCCGGGGTGCCTTGATAGTTGAAGCAGACTTTGTGCTTTTGAAGCTAGAGAGGTGAGCAGAGTAAGTATGATTTCCTGTAAGGACTTCTCTGTTCACATCCACCCCTTGGTGCTCATATGACCTTATGCAGCTGCGAGCGTCGTAAAACCTCTACTAAAACAAAAAAAATTGCGATTAGTTGCTCTGCTGTCTCATTCTTTTCTTTAGTCTTTTAGGTATGTTTACTGTTTTCCTTGGCTTTTTTACAGTTGTTTTTCTGTTTTTTTCTGTTAATGTACTCTCTTCCCTTTATTGTTTTGTCCCGTCTTTCTTGTATCCCTCATGAAGACCATCACTGCTAGGATGATGGTATTAATAGCAGAATACCTGTTGAAGTGTGATCAAATCCCCTTGTCAAACGGTGCATCAAGCTATCCTAATGTCTTGTAAGCTTCTTACTTTTCCTGACACAGAATAATTAATGGCTGGACCTCTGCGGTAAAAGCCGGGCATGTCTTCGACATGTAGTGAAAATATGCCTAGCCTTTTTTTTCCACGACAGGTCGTGAAAATGCGCATAGATTAATATCAATGAAACAGTGTACACCTTTCAACCACAAAAAATTTGAAATATTTTCTGTGGTGTGTTTCGTGCCTGTCATCATTGAGTGCCAGATCTTCTACAGACATGGATGATCATGGATCTCCGTTCCTTCATTTGCTCAGATGCTCTCAAAAGAGCTGCATTATCCTGATCTTTCATCTTCCATCTGTTTAGGCTTTACAAGTAGGTTGCCGAGTGTGAGCTAGATGTTCAAGGCCTTTACGTTTGTTCAAGTGTCCCAGAAACTTTTGCCTTTTCCTGATCGTTTTTGATTAGTGGGCAGCCCACATGGGCTTCTTCAAATGCTACTTCATTTGATTTCTCTTCCTTCCAAGAAATTCTCAACAGTTTAAAAACACTTTTCTGTTGCTTCTATTTTATTTTCACGGTCTTTAGTGATTGTCCAGCATTTACATCCATAGAGTCATTAAACTTTTTATATTTTTCAGGAGTGGGCTCATTTTATTGAAACTATCTGTAACCTTTGCAATTCTTTGTTTTATTTTTGTGGAACATTTGGCATCAGGTATAATTATATATCCTTAATATTTCAACTGTTACAAACTTCTTTGATCTTATTTATATCTGTACCATGTTTATTTTTCAGACTGTTGGCGCAGCATTTTTTCTCAAACAGTGGGGACCGTACAATGTGGCAGTATGGGTACGTAGTTGTAGAAACTTCTGTCATATGGTTTTTTTGCACAACTGCTTTTGTGTTTGCTTTGTCTTCTCTCCCCCCCCCCCCCCCCCCCCCCCAGAATAAGGACAAACATTCAGGTCACCAATGTGCTACCATAGAATTACAAAGATCTATCTGCTCAGTACCTAGTTTTGAGAAATTTGAAGCAAAAAATTTTGAGTTTCATATGTCACGCTTTTTCTTATGCAGTTCTTTGAATATCTTTATAACGACTCTGAATAATCTTATGATTTTGATGGAGCAGATAGAACATCTGGTCTCTGACCTCATGATCTTAGTCACTCAAAACAGCCAAAAATGTCAGGTAGAACTTTGTAATTCTAAGGTAGCAAATTGTCACCAAATATTGTCTCGCAGCTCTTGTCTCGGAGACGGTTGCCGTAACACTTTTATATAATAGATAGCATTCGTATAGCACAAAGTCCGGCTCAACAGCAAGCTCTATGCTCTGTACAATCTATATTATCATCCCAGCAGACCTAATAACATTCTGAAACGAATTCAACTTCCTGGGAATCATAGTCTAAGCATCAATTTTATAGGCGCCAGACACTAACATACGGACAAGATCTTTCGCTGTCTATGGCTGAGTATCCATTCCCACACGGGTGAAGAGAGGACAGTTCATGTAAAGTAGCGAAACGACTAGCAGCTAGAGCTAACAACACCCGAGAATCCGGCTTCAAATCAAGCGGAAGACCAAGAAAGACCTGGCTGGATGGGGTTAAAAAGGTCCTAGAACAACATAACTTCTATCACTGACGCTACACACCTAACACAGGACGGAAACTTTCACCTCCCCTCGACATCCTAAGGATACCAGAGGGAGAAAAAAGTAAAAAGTAAACTGAAAGAATGAAGTTTTCTGTGCACACACATAGTTTCTGAGTTGCAGGATTCTTGCATCTTATTTTTAATAGTAATTATAATAAGAATTGTTTGTCTGTCAGTGTCTGATGAGGATTAATGCATTTGCAGACAATTATTTTTTTATGTACACTAGCAATGAAAAGTTTATTTTTATATAATTATCTTAACTCATTCACTTTCATCTTGATTATTTCCCATTTCGAAATTGCATTGAAAAGGCTATTTTTATAATTTTGATGTCTTATCTGGGTAATTTTATACAAGATGATATCATATGTGGACTCCCAAGTGAAAAGGTGGTTTTTATTATATTGTTATCTAAAAAACTTTTTCCCAGGATACAGCTGGGGATGAACGATACTCGGGTCTCTCTCACTTCTATTGCCGCAGCGCAGGAGCGGCCATCTTGGCCTTCGACTTGAACAACCCCAAGACATTTGAGTCTTTATGGTGAGAAAAAAATCTATCATTTTTTCTTTTTCTGAGCACTCTGATAGATCTTAGGGGTAGTCAGTCATCTTGAAGTTTTTCAGTCGGCACTGTAGCTGATTTTTAGGAAGTCGTAAGCCTGCAACAGAGATGCCAACCCTCACTATTTTGGCGTGAGACTCACGAAAACACGACCCGTCTCACGCCTCAACGATTTTCTGTGTAATCTCACCAATTTTCATGGTCGTGTTAAATAGAATCTTGTATGGAATAAAAACCACTAGGAGACCAGTCGTAATAGTTACAAAGACTCAGCATTGCAAACCGCTTCCGTTTCTGTTTAGAGGTTTTGATCTGCCATTTGGACCTAATATGCCATCGCCGATCATGTATTTGGCTCTCCTCTTTTTCCGTGTGTTGAAGCATTTTGGCATCGTTACTCCAGACTCGTCTTATGTGATTTTTGGACTTATTGAATATCATATTACTGTCCGTTACGCAGCCTAACTAAAAAAATTCAAATCTCATTAAAAATTTACTTGGATCTCACTAAAAGTTTTCGTCTTAGGTTGGCATCTCTGCTGCAACTAACTCCAGGTGGAAACTTCGAAGGGAATGGTTTGTTTTTAATATTTTTCATTTTCATCAGTCCTGCCTAAGACAGCCACCTGTCTTAGACGGCCACCTGTCTTAGACGGCCACTTTTCTCCTCCACAATCGGTGGTCATCTTATACAGGTTTGACTGTATATATGTGTCACAACGCAGTGGAATGAGGCGCTCGTCAATCTTTGGGCATCTGGAGTTATTGGTTTCGTTTTAAAGCTTGTTCGTGTCTTGCTTTGGAGGAAAAAAATACCAATCTATCTTGAATAGAAGTCGAGATATTTGCAATTGAAGGAAATGGGGGTCGCCTCATTTCAGTGGTAAAATTTGAGAGAAAATGGCAGTCAAGGTTCGACTACTTCCAAAGCTTAAGAGTCCTAGGAAACTGAACAGCTGCAATTTTGGTGCCTTTAATCTACCCTTTTCCATAAAATCAAGACAGAAATGTGTACATTTATATAGACATATAAGGTGTTGAACCAAAAAACAAAAATTCGAGAAAAGAGGAGGCTGGTGTTAAGTTTAAAAACAATTGCTGTTATTAGGAAAGCCTGTGAGTTTTTTTTGTTTGTTCTATCCAGGGCTCGATTTGGCTCCATCCTGGAAGCAGCTAATGAGGACTGTCTGAAGATTGTGGTGGGCACGAAGGTTGACCTCTTGGAGCCAGAACACCGGGAGATCACCATAGAGGAAGGGCGCAAACTGTCGCGCGACCTCAACGAACATATCGACATCCGGAAGCTCCCACATGACCCGTACTTCGAGACATCCAGCCTGGCCAATGAGAACGTGCAGGAGGTGTTTGAGTACATCTTCCAGTACTGCCTCCCTCTCAGCGCTGACCAGAAGAAGAGACATCGGAACCAACAGAAGAGTGTCGTCGACCTTTTGGAAAATAGCGAAGAAGGGGATAAGGGGAAGAAAAAGTGCTGCTGACTTTTTGTCTTTTGATCAGACAGTATTGACGGGAGCAGCAAGGGGAAGAAAGATAAACGGCTGTTGACTTGGTCTGTCTATCATTAACCCCTTCACTGCCGGCTATGAGCTACATAGCTGTGCCGGGGAAAATTGCTCCAATTACTACAAGCGTCACATAGAGCCCCTAACTCAGACACACGATTGAAATTATTATCATCACTGTTACAGTCATTCATAATTTCGTGTAGAACTTCTGCAGCTAAAAAGGAAGGTCGATAGACTCGTCTGTTGGATGCCATTGCGAAAAGCAAACCCCCCCCCCCCCAAAAAAAACCCCTCCCCCCCACAACTCAGAACGTCAACACTTAACTTCTTCAAAACAATGAAAATGGCACTCAGATTCATGGGAGACTACTGTAATATCAATGAGGATTTGTCGTGACACAGTTTTGTCCCTTTAAAAGGTGGAAAATTACACAAAAAATGACTTCATCATAGGCCCACCGAATCAGCGGGCACATGGCACAGGGAAGCACTTCTTGGCCTGCTGAGTCAGCGGGCTGCGGCAGTGAAGGGGTTAAAAGGCTGCTGACTAGTGCTGTGGGATTTTGAGGAAATAAAACTTCATTGATACTCCGAAGCATGAGGTCACTATTCATGCCTCTGGATTACTGCTGTCGAATGTTTTTTTCCTTGTACTCACTAAGTCCAACCTCACTTCCGCTACTGGATATTCACTAACTATTTATAGCACCAGTCACCAAGCGTGCATGGGTTTTCTCGTGCACAGTGCAATGTGAAGGCATCTCATCACCATTCATAACACTTTGAATTTTAAATAGGGGAAAGGGAGCTCATTGCGACAGTTAATTTCATGGAAAAAAAAACATTCACTGTGCTTCAAGAGTCAAGTGCCCTTGCTCGAACTATTCGTGGTGTGAATAATTGTAGTCATCTGATGTCAATTACAGTTTACACATCCGATACCGCATGCTTAGTATTCGTTTTTGCCAAGTGCTAGTGTCGAATTGTTCCAGTTGTTTGGTTCTTTTGATGTAGTTTGATTGTTTATTATGGATCTTGTAGGATAGATCTGCCTGTGGAGGAAGTACTGGCAGATTGGCATTATGTTGTAATTTTTTTGTTAATAAATATTAGTAAATGTTAAATCGACATCAGAATGACTTACATTTGTTCATAAATGAATAGTAATGGATACTCTTAGGAGTCTGAGGCATATTTTATAACTTTTGTTGACTCCTGTTATTACCCTGTCTAGTAACCATCAAGTACAGAGTATTTCTGTTTATCTCAATGATTTTATCAATATTTTTTGCTCTAATTTTACTACGGTTGAGAAAAATGAGACGAAAATCCATAATCTGTTTGCAAAAAAAAATAAAATCCCACGGCATTGGAATGGCTCTGCCACGCTTCGAATAGCTCTGAATAGTAAAAAATCTTGAATGTTAAATAGTGAGGTAGGATGGGCACTGTGGCCCAGCTCTACAACTGACTATGTCTACCATCAGTATCAAGAGTAGAGCCACAAGGACTGCATGTGGAAGAGAGAAAGTGTGTTGAAGTCATTGCCCACGTCTGTCGGGGAACGTCAGCACGAGACGTAGCAAGTACAACTGATTTCTCGCGTCTGTTGCTGCTTTATTATATATATATATATATATATATATATATATATATTTATATATTACATGTATATTATACAAGTACGGAGTACAAGGTGAATACTGGCCAGCCTGATATTGAGACTGTAACATTCCATGTGAGGTTGTTGGCTTTTTAGCGTAGCCGCGTGTGAAACATGGATGGGTGGCTTCTTTGGTTAGATTAGCAATTCGTTTTCATCTGGAATTTTCCATGAAGTGAGTATGATATCGGTGTCGGAAATCTGTAAAACAGTGTTAAAATGGTTTGTTTGGAATGTTTGAACATCTTGCCGTTCCAAGGCTGACCGAAAAATTATTAATTTTTGTATTTTCGTTTTAATGGTTGTCTATAGCCATTCTGCATCTTGTGTCAAAGGCAGGAAGATGTATCTGCACTACAAATAGGAGATTTCACTAAGGCGAACAGATGTAACTGAAGGGCCATGCCCATATTTCCAATGGCAACGTGACGAAACTCAAAATCGTCAAAAGTGCAGATACGTTACTCTGCTTTGGCACGGCAGATTTTTGCTGAAAGCAATAGATGGTTGTAAGGGGTGGGGAGACAATCCATTAACTCTGTTGATGTTGTTGTGGTTGTAGTGATAAGTGCAGGATTGTTGCAGTTGCTGTAATGTTCCATAGAGTGTGTGTTGTCAATGTTAGGTCTCAGAGGGAGAAGTGTAGCTCTGATGTCATTTAGGGCTCTGCGATGGAGCAACTCTGCTGATAAGATGCTAGGCTTTGGTGAGGGTTATGTGTTTTCATATTCGTGCAGGATTGTTTCAGATCCTACACTGTTCAAGACTATATCAAACACAGCGCTCAATGGGTGGTTAGCGGGTGCTCTGGTGTGGTTTGCTCCTTCTTTCCTATCAAACATCTATCGTCCTTATCTCTCCACCTTCTATTTTATGTTTGTTACTCTCTTGTAACATCTCTAATCTTCGGCACTTATATGACCTTATTTTGTTGCAAGTGCCGTGCCGTAAAACCCTTACCAAAACTAAAGGGGTGTAATACTCAAAGCAGAAACCAACCAGAGAGCTGGCATCGTTCTCTAGTGCTTTCACCTGGTCTCACTGTCCCTTGTTGTGACTGTGATGTTGTTGGAGGGGAGAAGCTGGAGAAACTCCTCGATCTGTAGACAGTTTCAGCACAACTGCCGAGCAGTTTTTACGCTCATCAAGACTTATTTTCCATGACTATTTCTAGAAAGCATATAATAATATGGCCTCCTGCTTTCACTGTTTTGTATGCAGTTTTTAAAAATACCTTTATGTGCATTATAAAGAAATTGCTGTGCCAATTGTTTAACCATTTGGTTTGCCATATATATAGCTTTCAGCCATTTCTTACTTAACACACTCTCAACCCCGATTAAAAAAACCCATGACCCCTGAACTCTGTTTTTTCGGGGTATTTTATATTTGCGCTCAGAAGATCAGTCTAGTTAACGTATCTACTTACTTTTCCTCACACACTTATGACACAAGAAATAATTTATAGTAATACAATAAGAAAGTTCAAAGCTTAATTTAATTTTTTCTTTGGTGATTTTAAAATAAAAAATATTTCGTTTTGGTCCCTAGCAGGAATTTTGTGGTCTGGAGCAATGAATCCCTCAATTTGAATCAAGCTAACACTGTCATAAACTGACGAAAGTGTTGGGCCTGTGTAAGAATAATTTTCTTAGGCTCTCTCATTGTGGTCCTTGGCTAAAGTTCCTCTTTGTTTCCTGTCATCCTCTTTGAGCCCTTTAGTGTTGAAACAAAATTGTTTTGCAAGTTGAGGTTTTCTTTCCTCTTGACCTGTCTTTTCCTGTTGTAGCATAAAGTGTTAAACTCTATTTAGATACTCTCATAAATGTTGATAAACAGGATAGGAAGTGTCTAGGGAGACCAGGATCCTGGTCTCTCTATCCTCTTCCAACAGGATACACAAATGACATTTACTCCTTGTACTGTGTGTGTTGTGTAGTGGGAAAACTGAACATCTTCTTGTAGTTATTTATTACATAAGCAGCATGTACGTTCGGGCTAGAAGCAAGCACCAGCTTCCTGTGTATCTGCGCCAATTAGGCTGAGTGAGTGAAAAAAAATAGAATGTTTCAGCTGATGTTTAGGCCATTTGCATGTTGTTTTGGCTGTCCAGGGTCTGTTGATGGCTCGGACATATGAAGCTGTTCATTCAGTAGGTCACGTCAGTCGCCAATGTTATATTATTGTTTTACACTCACCTTTTTTTTTTCCTCACCAGAAATATTTTTTTCTTTACTGAAAATGTTTGTAACAAAATGTTTGAACAAAAGTGTTGTTATGATTGCTTTGCGACTGATTTTTTTCTTTCTTTAAAAACAACAACAACCATTTTTTGGCTTTTAGCAGCTTAATGACCTCCATCCTAATATACTTGTCGTGCCACTGCCCCTTTCTGGACCCAGTGACGAAAAAACTCGCATGAAATTAGAAATTATAACCTTGAACAAAGCAGTCTTACTTTCTCAATTCGGTAGTGAATAAAGTCCCATTTTTCCAAATCAGTGGATGTAAAACATGGTTTTTTTTTGAGCTGTTGAGATTTGTAAGAACGTCAGTTATTCCAGTCTTGATTTTATAGATTCCGAATGTTGTTTTCTCTCATACTTCAGCCACAGCTGTGGCTCAGGCGGGTCAGAGGCTCTAAAGGTGCTGGTGGGTCACTAAGTTGTCCAGATCATCACACGGTCTAAGGGTGGTTGGTGGGTCACTAAGTTGTCCAGATCATCACACGGTCTAAGGGTGGTTGGTGGGTCACTAAGTTGTTCAGATCATCACACGGTCTAAGGGTGGTTGGTGGGTCACTAAGTTGTTCAGATCATCACACGGTCTAAGGGTGGTTGGTGGGTCACTAAGTTGTTCAGATCATCACACGGTCTAAGGGTGGTTGGTGGGTCACTAAGTTGTTCAGATCATCACACGGTCTAAGGGTGGTTGGTGGGTCACTTAGTTGTTCAGATCATCACACGGTCTAAGGGTGGTTGGTGGGTCACTAAGTTGTTCAGATCATCACACGGTCTAAGGGTGGTTGGTGGGTCACTTAGTTGTTCAGATCATCACACGGTCTAAGGGTGGTTGGTGGGTCACTTAGTTGTTCAGATCATCACACGGTCTAAGGGTGGTTGGTGGGTCACTTAGTTGTTCAGATCATCACACGGTCTAAGGGTGACTGGCTGTTCCGTCACTAAATTGTTCAGATATCACACTGAGGACTTTTTGTTTGTCTGTGTTGCTGAGAGAAGTACGACATGGCTGGAGCAGAGTGACGTAAAATCAAAACTTGGTCTTCTCTCCCTGTTTCTTCTCTTCATCGTGGGTGGTTAGCGGGTGCTTTGATGTTGTTTCCTCCCTTCATCATGCTACATCATCTGTTGACTCGTCACTTTGACTTGTGACCTCAGTCTATGCATTCGATTTGCGAAGATATTAATTTCAGTCCACATTCCTCCGGCAAAGTTGATCTTTTTACCTCAAGTCAGCATCATCATCTGTAAACCTGATTGCTTTTTTTTCCCTCTGATTTTTCATAAATTTAAAGTGCAGCCTGTATTCAAATTTTGCATGTCTTCTTATCATTTTGTTTCAGTGAGAAAAGAGATAGTTTGAGGACAGTGACAGTGAAATGCCATTTGATTGTGAATGGATAAGAATGTATTGATATATACTAAAGTTTTAATTGTTTTAAATGACACTGTTTAGATGTATGAAGAGCAGAATTGTTTGTAGGAACTTCCATGATAGAATGAGACAATCGGTTATGCATTCTAGCAGTTATAATTGTCAAAAAATTGTTTTAAAAATGTTTGTATATATTTCTATCTGTGATGATGAAAAAAAAAGTCCATACTGTCACCTGTGGGTAGTGTGAGCTTATTGTAAAGTACTCCCAGATTAATTGCACCAGCTTCTTTGGTGTGACAGTTTGGTTTTTTATCCTGCTTTTTAAAAACATGAGTTGGAATCTCTTGTGGGAAAAATAGTTGCGCGGCCGTCAATTCAGACGATGACTAATACCTTCGCAAAGGAGAATATTTCCCCAGCGAAATAGAAGTGTTAGAAGAATCAAAGGTTACGATGACTTGTGGCTTCTGCTGTGGCCGATGAGACCAATTGTGGCACAGAAAAGTTTGCTACATTTTGAACATTTAAAAGCTTTACTTCCATTTATGGATGTGCGCATCTTCTTGTGGGCTTCTCTCTTGGTTTCAGCATTTGTGGGAAAAATAGTTTAAGTGATTAATATGGTTTGAAATTGTTGAAGAGTCCAGGTTTGGGGCACTAATGTCTGTGGAGTAAAATGGAAATATTTTATTGAGTGTTGGATTTTATCTACTTCTTCCAGGTGGGCTGTCCTTAGTGATCGAAATTGTATCTGCAGGCGGGAAAAGTTTGCAAGTAGTACAAACAGTCAAACTCTGTCAATGGGTTTCCAAAATTTGTTTCTGTTACTTTTGTGGTTAGGCTACTGGACTCGTAATCGTGAGGTTGCAGGGTCGGGGGTTCGAGCCGCGGGCCCGACGTTGTGTCCTTGGGAAAGGCACTTTACACAAATTTTCCTCACTTCACCCACGTGGAAATGGGTACCGGGCCATAGACAGCAAAAGATCTTGTCAGTATGTTAGTGTTTTAGCGCCTATAAATGGCTGCTTGCACTGTATGCTTCCCAGGAAGTTGAGTTTGTTTCAGAATGCTCTCAGGT